CCGGCCCGAACTCTTACCCTTAAGGGTCGGGAAATAGGAGGCCCTAGTCGCATCCCTCTCCTTACTACGGCTAGGAAATTAAATAAAGGGGAAGGAGCGACGCATCGTTATTAATGTCCTCTAAACCCTACTAACCGGGTAGAAGAAGGTCCTAAGGGCTCTCGTTAATTACGGGGCGTAGCTTAATCTTATTTTATAGTACGTTATACAGCTCCTTTAGTTACCTACTATAGACCTTCTAAAACCTAAAGTTAGGTTCCTAAATAACTACCCTATAGACATCTATAAAGCTTACTAGCTAGACGTCTCTATAGCGGACCGCGAAGGTACCGTAAAGGTTACGTAGTAGATCTTCTAGATAGGGTTATTTACTAGCTACGATATAGTCTTAGAATAGGATTAGCTTAATACTACCGACCCCTTAATTAGTTTTAGAAAAGGAACGTTTATATAGGGAGACCTAGGGCCTAAGCCCTCTAATAATAATGTCCCTACGGTTTCTAACCTTCCTATAAACCGCCTGCTTTAAGCCCTTATCGACGGTATAGCGGYATTYTAAATAGGAGACTAAAACTACCTAATTAGGGTAATAGTAGAGGAAGAAAAACCCTTAAACGGCGATACTACCGTAGAGGTACCGTAGGACCCCCGTAATACTACTATCGGCGAGCCTATAAGGCCCTACGCGGTCTATAACCCTAATTAAGACCTAACTACTATTAATCTAAACTATCGAAAAGAATAGTAGATCGTAGCCCTCTTATACTACGAACGGTATAAGGCTACCTACGCCGGGCACGAAGAGCTTTAAGAGCTACCTCGATAAGTATACCGGGAGATGCTTACTATCGCTACTACTAAGGAAGCCGAGATAAGGGAAATCCCCCCTAAATATATAGACTAGGCGGATGTGTTTAGTCTAGAGCTAGCTAGGGTTATTATATAACACTCGTAATACGACTACGCTATTAACCTTAAGGAGGGTAAGGACCCTCCCTAACTACCTATCTATAACCTCTTATAGCGAGAGTTAGGGATCCTTTAAGAGTACTTAGATAACGCTCTTACTAAAGGATAGATACGGCTAAGCAAGTCCCCTTACGGAGTACTAATCCTCTTTATTCTAAAAAAGGATAATACTATACGGTTATACGTCGATTACCGAGGGCTTAATCGTATTATAATTAAGAACAGGTACCCCCTACCCCTAATTAGTAAGCTTTTAGACCGGTTTAGCTACTCTTATATCTTTACTAAGTTAGACCTAAAGGATGTATATTACCGGCTCCGTATTCGGGAAGGGGATAAGTAGAAGACCGCATTTAAAACGCGGTATAGACTCTTTAAGTACTTAGTTATACCGTTCGGCTTAGCTAACGCCCCTATAACGTTCTAGTTATATATTAACTATACGCTAGCTAGCCTCGTTAACAGGATATACGTAGTATACCTTAATAACATCCTTATCTACTCTAAGAACGAAGTAGAATATAAGGAACATGTAAAGCAGGTCCTATAACGTCTACGGGAGTAGAAGTTATATACTAAGCCCTCTAAGTGCGAGTTTTATATAAAGAGCGTAGAATTCCTTAGCTTTGTTATTACGCTAGAGGGGGTTATAATAGACAACAATAGAGTTACTACTATCTAAGAGTAGCTAGAACTACGTTACTACCGAGACATTTAAGTGTTCCTTAGCTTTACTAACTTCTACCGACGCTTTATCTAGGGATATTTAGATATCGCTAGACCCCTAAACTAGATACTTACCGGCGGCACTATAGTACTAGGAAAGAAGAAGAACAAGGTAGTAAGAGGTCCCTTCTAGTAGACCGAGGAGGTAGGGAAGGCTTTCTAAAGGTTAAAAGATGCCTTTACTTCGGTACCCCTTTTATAACATTTCGACCCTACGCTTCCTATTATAGTTATTACCGATACCTCGGATGCTACGTACGCCGGTATCCTACTATAGCCCTACCGTAGAGGTACCGTAGAAGTAGAATAGTTATATTAGTACCTAGTTACCTACTACTCTAAGAGCTTCGTTAGTCCTTAGATTCGCTATAGCACACCCGATAAGGAACTAATAGCTATCTCTAAAAGCTTTAAAGTCTAGAGACACTACTTAAAAGGGGTAGCGCACCCTATCCGAGTTCTTATCGACTACTATAACCTAAAGTACTTTATAACGACAAAGGTCTTAGATAGTCGTTAGGCTAGGATTACGGAAAGGTTAGTAGCGTACGACTTTACTATTAAGTATAAGAAGGGGACTACGAACCCTTCTAATAGTTTATCTCGTCGACCGGATTACTTTATAGGATTTAAAGGAACGGCTAAAGACGAGTAGCTATTAGGACTTCTACTATCCTTATAGTAGTAACTAAGAGTTATAACGCTCGATAGCTACGCGGACTACCCTATAGAGGTACCGTAGAGCTACCGCGGTACCGACCCGGAAAGTTTATATAGGAACCTAGGTCTCCTATTATCCTATAATAAGCTCGATTAGCTTAGGTTAGAGAGGCTAGTAACTAGTTTTAGCTAGCTATCTAGCGACACTCTCGATAGTACCGTAGGAGGCTTATTACTCGCTACTACTAGTACTAGGAATTATAAAACCCTCGTACTACGTTTCCTCGTCGCTATAGCGTATAAGGACGAAGTAGCGTATTAAGGAGAGCCTCTAGAGTCGACTCGAGACTTTATCCGAGAGGTCTAGTAAAGGGACGCTTATACTTAAGACARACGGAAGGAGGCTACTTTAGCGACTATAAATTCCCCGAGCGATCCCCTAACGCCGACGGAAGAGCGTAACGGTACTATAGAGATACTATAAAGGTCGGATAGACTAATAGGCTTAGCTAAGACCTAGACTACCGATAAAGATAGACTTCTTCGGTATAACGGAAAGGTRTATATTCCCGCCTCCGTTACCCTCCGGTAGGAGCTTCTATATTATAACTACGACGATCCTACCGCTAGACACTACGGGCGATAGCGTACTACCGACGTCCTTTCGGCTAAGTACTTCTAGCTACGCCTCGCTAAGGACGTAAGGAACTACGTAGCCGAATACGATGTCTATTAACGCGCTAAGACGAAGTATTATAAGCTATATAGCGAGCTCCGGCCCCTAATAAAACTATTAACCCCTTAGAAGTTAATCTCTATAGACTTTATTATAGGTCTACTACTATTAAGAGGATTTAGCGGTAAGATCTACGACGCTGTTCTCGTTATCGTTAACCGCTTCTCTAAGCTAGTAAGGTACCTCCCTATTACTAAGGATATCGATGCGGTRGYACTTRCGGAACTAGTATACCGCCGTATTATCYATAAAAYAGGCGCTCTAGACGATATTRTCTCGGACCGTRGATTAGTRTTTACTAGYAYATACTAGAGTRTGTTTTRCTTCTACCTTAGTRTTAAACGACGCCTTAGYACTRCTTTTTATCCTTAAAYRGATAGCTAAACTAAACGGCTTAAYTAATAGTTAGAAGCGTACTTRCGYATCTACTAYAATTRGGATTAAGACGACTAGGCCCGCTTATTAGCTACGGYAGCGTACGCCTAYAATAGYAARACYTACGTAGGGCTAGGGAAGTTACCTATAGAGGTAGCGTACGGCGTCGAACTAACATCGTTTAATAGTATTAACCGCGCTATCGACTTAGAGTACCTACTATAAAGCTAGAGGGTACGCCCTATAAAGGAACTAGCCCTAATCGAGTAGGCTAGCGCTTAGCTATAATAGAGAAGGGACGATTTCGACCGGGCCCGAGACTACCTTCTCTACGTAGATATACTCCTTAAACGCTATTACGACCGTACGGTAGCGTAGAGGTACTTTAGCGTTAGTAACAAAGTCCTCCTATCGGGAAAGAACATCCGTACTAAGCGGCCTAGCCGTAAGATAGATAACAAATATCTCGGGCCCTTTATAATCCTTTAACGAATAGATACGATAGCGTATAAGCTTAACTTACTACTAGCAATAAAGCGCTTCTACCCTATCTTCTACGTCTCCTTACTAGAACTATATACCGTACGAGATAGCTTTATACCGCTACTAGTAGAACTACTCGAGGATAGCGATAATAAGGGGGGGGGAGAAAAGTTCGAAGTAGAAAAGATCCTTAAATACGAGGATAATGCCGATAGTAGTAGAAGGAAGTACTACATCCGATAGAAAGGATAGGTACTATAATACGATAAATAGTTATAGGAGGAGGAAATAGGGAATGCTCTAATTCTTATTACTAAGTACGAGGCCGTAYRAAGGCGAAATAGAGGTGCCGTAGAGCTACCGTAGAGCGGGGTAACTGCCTTAGCACTAAAAAGGAAGAGAGGGAGACCTTCTAAAAAGAGTCGTAAAGTATAGAATGTAGTTTCTTTTATATAGAGTTTATTACCCTAACCGGCTTAGTACTCTTATTAGAGGCATAATAATATCTTTAAAAACAACGTATAGTACTCTTAGTAGAGGTGTAATAATGTCTTAAAACGTAAAGACACCGTAGAGCTGCCGTAGGGCGACCTAAACGGCACTCTTCCCCTACTAAATTAAACGCCGAGTGCGGTTATTAGGAAGGGAGACAAGAATCGCGTTCTTAGTAGTAGTATCTACGACTATATTCGAGGGCGGACCGCCGCTACTACTACTACTATTACGGTATATCTCCTAAGCCGTCTTACGACGCTTTATAGCCTCGATATCCCTCGTAGCCTACTAGTTCTAAGTCGGCTAATTAGCACTATTACCCTTCGTAGTACGCTTTACCTTCTTAATAATGCCCTTAGACTCTATATTATTAAGGTAGTCGGTACCCGTCTACTTCGTACGACGGTAGAACTTAGAAGCGTAGTTACGAAAGCGGACCTTACGACGGTTGCGATCGTTACTAGGGGGAGTCTTCTCGGTAGTACGACGAAGCTATAAAAAGATTAGTAAGGGTGCTATAGAGGTACCGTAGGGATATATACGTACTCTAAGATGTTAGTAGCACGAGATATCTTAGATAGTAGAGGATAGTACTAGGGGCGGGACTTATTACCCTTATAATTAGTATAGTTATTAGGAGACTACGAGGCGTAGTCGTAAGGGCAATTAAGAGGTAATTACTTCGCCTTAGTAAGGGTGTTCCGGTTACTAGTAACGGGGGAGTAACGACGAAGACACTCGACTATACGCGCGGTTAGTTAAAAGCTACCGTAGAGGTACCGTAATATACGTATAATAGTACTAAACTCGAATATCTAGCCGAGGCTACGTATTAGTAGGGAAGCGGGTAACCTTAGTAATAGGCTCGTTAGAGGCATTAGTCTCGCCTACGCTATAGGCCTAGCGAGGGAGAGTCGTAGACATCTTACTACCGCTACTAAGCTAAGCGGTTATACTATTCTATAAAGTGCGACGATTATTACGGTTACCTATAATTGTCTAAGGGCGACGCCGTAGCCGAGGAGGGGAACTATAAAGAGTGTTTAGATAACGCTAGTAACGCCCTAGATTACGGCGGATATCGAAGGCCTCGTCCTTAGATAAGAGGGGAAGGATACTACTTAGTAAAGGGCGTAGTAGTAGAGTAAAGGTAATAGCGGATTTAGATAATAGTGTTAATAAAGGAGAATAACCTATAACTACCGAGTGTTTTGTAGTAGAAGTAGAAAAGCACCTTAGCGGCACCTTAAAGATAAGGTTATACTACCTACATAAAAAGTTACTCGGAAAAAGTAAATATAGAAAAAAGTAAATATAATAGGCTTTATAAGGAAAAATAAGTGAATTTTCTCGGCTTCTAACACTTAGCAAAATAAAAGTAAATAACTAAATTCACTTATATTGCTTATATTACGCTGCTATACCTAAGATAAGGCGTAGAGGTACCGTAGCGGTACCGGGGCTATAGTCCTTTAACTATAGGAAACAAAATGCGGAAAAGTGCTCCGGGATAGAGTACTAAGGGGGGGGGGGCATACTATAAGGGGACCCTAAAGGAGCGGGATACCGCCCTTTAAACCCTTACCTAGAGAATCCCTCTTAGAAAGAAGGAGGGAATTACACCCTTAGTAGGATTTCCCTATACGGATGCGACGGCTAAAGGATAACTCTACGGTACCTCTACGGTACCGCCGAGCCTAACTAGTATCGGGCGCAATCCTATAAAAGGGCGATGTCCTTATTACCTATTCCCTTTCGCTCCCTAGGCAATATCGTAAATATCTAAGAATTACTACTTAGTATTAAGACCCCCTATTTATAACACCCTTATAGAGTTATCCTCTTTTAAAAGCTCTCTATTAATTAAACCCTCTAGTACCTCCTTAAGCTCTTTACGCGAGCGGTTATTATCGTACTAATCGCGAAACGCCTATATAATATCTTCCGAGTCGACCTAAAATCCTTCCTACTTCCTACCGCCTCGGGGAATTAATATCTTATATAGTATATCCTTAGGAACCTTACGTAGCTCTTCTACGAGGTTCTCGTATACGATCTAGTACTACGGCTTTTATACGCTTAGTATAAACTTATACGAGCTTAGTCGACCGAGCGGAAAGCCCTTTATCTTTAGAATACTTAAGTAGAGCTTAAGTATCTCTTATAGAATATACTCCTTAGAATCTGTATATATTAGCAAATAATTTAAGATCTATTATATACGTTTGCTAGTATAAACGTACCCTACTTTACGTAAGCTTCTATAAGACTATTAAAGTAGGCCTTATCGATTAGATACCTAATACTTAGCCTTCCCTCCTTCTCTACCTAGTTATAGCGATAGCTTAGTATACTACCCCTTACGTGCGGTCTATTAGATTATCTTCGTACGGGGTACTTGTTCTATATATATACGAACGAGGCTAGTTCTTTCCGTATAATAGGTGTATAGATATACTTTATAGTAATGCGGTTAGCCTTCTTTACTTTATAAAACCACCCCTTCTTCTTTAATATTATAAAGAAGCCCTATAATATTAAGATTAATTAGCCTAACCCGTATAATTAGATTCGGATATAACGGGAGCGTTACTAAAGCATATATAGATAATATGCTCTATATACTTATATACTATGCCTTAAACCTTCCTCGTATAAGCTAGCCCTACTATRCCTCGATACGGAYATTAGTAGTRCTTATTCTAAATATAAAGTAGCGGCGAAAGCGTACTTTACGCCTACGAATARTCCTTACGTATTAGTATTAAGCCTACGCTATAAGRAGTRTCTCTTTACCCTTATCTATCCGAATAATACGAGGTACTCTCGTAAGCTTTTTATAAGCTTTCGTAAAGTTAGATAGTATAGATACTATTATACGGGCAGAGGGTCTAAGATAGGTATATAGAATAAACCGTATATCTATATTAATAGCAGTATAGATCTAAAAGCTATAGTCCTTAAGTTTATAGTATACATCTATACTCTAGACTATATTAGGGCTAGGTGTAATATACTTACTACGGCGACGTATAAACTTCGTAGCCCTATTATATAAGCTAGCGGAATAGACCTCGCGGGCTATCTCGTATAGTCGCTTCCTACGATATAGTAGTATATTAGCAAACCCCTTTCTACCCCTTTCTACCCCTTTCTACCTTATCGATATATATTATATAAATATACTAACCTACTAAGCGTAAGCCGCGTACGATCGGTTATACGGAAGTATGTTTATAGTAATATTATTCTATATACTCTAAGGTTCGAGCGATTAATCTCCTTCTTTATAATCTTTTTATATTCCTCTTAACGCTTAAGGAACTCTCCTTCTCTTAGTCGTTTCTTAATRCCTATACTCCGCCGARGCYRTATAAAGGTATAGTACTTAATCGTAAATCCCTCCTCGTTTAATTTGTCTACGATATACGTATCTAGTAGAGCTTCGAGGTAGAAGAGTTCGGCTATTTAGATATAAAGGAGGGGATTATCGTAAAGACTGTTCTTTAACGACTATTAGAGTTCGCTACCGTTCTCTACGACGATTATACGGATAGTCCGTTCGGAGGTATATAGCTATTATAAATAGAGGAAGGTTTAAAT